TATGTATGTATCATACGAGCCGACAGGAGCAACCCCCCCACTCTCATCAACAAGTACCCCACCACTCACCTGATCGCGGCCGCTGGGACCAGTCAAACCGGCTGGTGCTGCTGCCGCTGCTGATGCTGCTGCTGCTGCGGCGGCGGCAGCAGCAGCAGCCGGAGACTGGTCCCAGCGGCCGCGATCAGGTGAGTGGTGGGGTACTTGTTGATGAGAGTGGGGGGGTTGCTCCTGTCGGCTCGTATGATACGTACATACCGCTGCGCCGACGGTAGTAGCCCCCACCCTCTCGTCGGTTTTCTCCACGTGCTCATACACCCGGAGAAGTTTCGTAACCGCAGCAGCACCAGCACCAGCACCAGCGGCCGGAAACTGGCCCAGCTGCTGCTCTGGGTGCGAAAGCTCACCACCCCCGTAACCGCCAGCAAGTCCTCCATCGCTGCAAACCCACAGGAGAGGAGCCACCGTGATTCTCTACTTCTACTTCATAGCCCGTCGCGTACCCTGGCTGCTGCTGAGAAAGCGAAGGCGCATGGCCTCTTTCCGGCTGCTGCGGGAACGAAGATTCTCCCCGCTGAAGCCACCGCCAGGAAGCTGTTGCTGCATGTGGAAAATGTCCGCCGGCCGCCGTCGGGAGGAACGGCACCGCCGTAGGCGAGAGGGGCGCTGTGAGGGGGAGGGGAGTGACGAGTGAGTGCATTCCAGCAGTGGCAACGAAGTGGCGTGAGTGTGATGGGGAGGTCGCTGAGGCCGCTGCCTGCCGCTGGAGCAGCTGCTGCTGCGGAGTCTGCGTGGTGAAAGTGCTAGGGCACGGGTTGTTGCTGCTGCCTTGATTGCTGTGACATGAACCTTTGCGGCGCGGGATGTTGTTGTTGTTGCTGCTGCTGCTGGTTGAACTTGGGGTACCCCCGAACATGGAACTACCTCCCCTCGAGCGGTACGCCGCCAAGCAGATGTTGGAGTCATTCCGCACCAAGTACACTGATACACCTCGCACATCTGCTGCTCCCTGCGGAATGGGAGAGATTTCGGTTGCGGCCAATTCGCGTTTCTCCTGCTGGGATCCGTTGGACCAAAGGGCGCAAACCTTCTGGGTGGGAAAGTGGTGGTCTGCTTGGTGCTGCCCTGGGTGAAGTGTTCCGGACGATCTTGCGCCTTACGCTGCTTATGCTGGTACGAATGCTGTTGGTACTGCTGCTGCTGCTGCCGCCGCTGCCGCTGCTGCTGCTGCTGCTGCTGCTGCTGCTGCTGCTGCTGCTGCTGCTGCTGCTGCTTACGGTATCCTTCCGCTGGTGACTGCGAGAGAATCCGCGTTGCCCGCCCGCGCTGTCATCGGGACCACCGCTATTGTCCCTCCGAAAATTACCACCGCCATTGTCCCTCCGAAAGTTACCACCGCCATTGTCCCTCCGAAAGTTACCACCGTCGCCGCCGAAACGAAGAGCGTGTGGATTGGCAGATACAGCAGGCTACCGTACATCGTTGCCGAGGTCGCGCTCGGGGTGCGCGCAGTAGACGACGTCCTCCGGCGATTCGCGATTCATCCCCGCGGCCTTGAGAGTAGACTTATTTCTCCGTGTCGTATGTCGGAGGAGAGGATGCGGTGGATAGCGAAATATTTTCCGATTCCAAAAGGTCGGCTTCCGCTGCAAGAGGAATTTGTTCAACGCAAAGAAGTAGTGGAGCAGTTCTTGTCCATCGCGCATCTTGACCTGGGACAATGATTGCCTGAGAGCCTCCCTCCCAGCGTGGTCAAACGACAGACAGCAGCGAGTCGCCTCGCGCCAGGCATCTTCCGCAGACCCAATCGTACGCAGCTTCGTCTTGAATTTTGCATCTACCATCGACTCCATCATGATGCTGAGGGCACGTTCGTGTTGGTCCACCCAAGCCTACGCCGTGTCGAATGATCAGCTCCCTCATGGAGGGACCGTGTAGCAGCTGCACAGGATACGCTTGACTCCTGTATGCATAGGGGGTGAATTACAAGTATTTGGTTCCGTGCCATTTGAGCCGTCGAGGTAACCTTGCTGGCCGAACGCTTCAAAGGGGTAGACCCCACTTACCCTCCAGTCGGAATCAGAAGTAGGATCGCTCGCGGTGGAATACCTAAATGTGCGTGTGGTTCGTACACCTGTGCCTAGAACACAAGCGGGTCGATACCTTTCGTTCGGTGCCATTTGAGCCGTCAAGGCAACCTCGCTGGATAGCTTTCAAGCGCTTGCGAAGTTGGTTCTTGCCAAGTCGCTTCCCGCCCTCAAGAACGGAGAAGGGGAGCGTAGTCGATATAGTAAGGCGTATTATGTTGACTACGCTCCCCTTCTCCTTTCTTCAGGGCGAGGAGCGACTTGACAAGAAGCACCTTCGAAAGCTCTTGACAGTTACTGAGCATGATTGCCTTGACGGCTCAAATGGTACGGCGAGCCCTTTGCTGGCTAGTCATACAATTTTCGAATAGCTGTCGTTATNGGGGGGGGGGGGGGGGGGGGGGGGGGGGGGGGGGGGGGGGGGGGGGGGGGGGGGGGGGGGGGGGGGGGGGGGGTACTATTTCGTGTTGCATGCCTTATCGGTTAGACCATTGACCACGCGTCCTCGAGAGGAGGGAGCATTGTTGCCACAGGACCGATCACCGGTGACCATGTCGGTCCTTCCTACTTTTCCAAACGGTGGCCCAGAAATGCCTTCCCTACTTAGTCTCAACTATCTTGTCGTAAACGGGCCGGGTTTCTCTTTTTCCAATGGGACTTGTTGCCATCGCCCCCGTAACATGTACCGCCGGACCCATCTCCGGCAACACCCCTCCGCCAGCTGCGTGCCCAGCTTGACCACCTCTGGCCCTCCCAGCATTAATCTCCAACATCGCGATCCTGTCCATCGTTATTTTGAGGTGTATCCCTCAAATCTTCCGCAGCCCTTGCCGCTGTTGCTTCCCTCTCCGTGGCATGTCGTGTATCCGCGATCTGGTCCGGTCAACCCTTGATCGAGATGTATATCGTGTTAGCTGCCCCCGTGCCTTCCGGTCGAAAGAATCGAACACAGGCCTCCGGCTTAATGAAGTGCATGTGCCAACTGCACACGAAATTTTGGACAAAAAGAAGTTTGTGTCATACTTGTATTTTTTCGACAGAAAGATTGACAGACATGGGTATTTTGGACAAAAACAAGTGTGTGGCATACTGTATTTTTGCGACAGAAATGTAGACAACGTGGATAGCTAATGTTTTCTCATGGATCTTCCCCGGCAACAATCAACTCGTCTGATCAACCCGTCTCCTCTTCTCCCCCGCTGGAATTACGGTCCTATGAAACAGGCGGCCACGCCCTGACCCCCGAGGCGCAGCGCCCTCCGGCGCTAGTGGCGATTATGCACGTGTGCGGGTGGCTGCTGATAGCGGCGGGGATGTTTCAGATCGTTATGTCCAAGTGTGCGGACTTCAGATATGTGAGTGGAAGACACGATTGAAGGAGGAAACACGTGCCCTCTCCGGCTGTTGTTGTTGTTGTTGCTGCTGCTGCTGCTGCTGATACTGCTGCTGCTGCTGCTGCTGCTGCTGCTGCTGCTGCTGCTGATGTTGTTGTTGTCATCCTTGTTGTTGTTGTTGTTGCTGCTGCTGCTGCTGATACTGCTGCTGCTGCTGCTGATACTGCTGCTGCTGCTGCTGATACTGCTGCTGCTGCTGCTGATACTGCTGCTGCTGCTGCTGATACTGCTGCTGCTGCTGCTGATACTGCTGCTGCTGCTGCTGCTGCTGCTGCTGCTGCTGATGTTGTTGTTGTCATCCTTGTTGTTGTTGTTGTTGTTGTTGTTGTTGTTGTAAGCGTCGTTGTCGTCGTTGTCGTTGAGGTTGTTGTTGTTGTTGTTGTGGTCGTTCGCACCGCCTACGTCACGCTTACCCTTACGGACCACCATCTTGTTGGTGTTGCCTCTTGTTGCAGGAATCTCTTGTAGTGGTGCACGAGGAAGGTGAAACGCTCATTCTTGGTTCGGTGCAACAACGTAGTTAATAATGAACAACAAATAATCGCTCCGCCAAATTGATGAAAGGGATAACATTGCGTCGTCATCAAGAAGTCAAACGGACAGGCAGAAAAAAATTGCGCGATCCCCTTCTTCCCGCGTACCGTCATCTTTCGAAACCACGATGAACATTTTTATCGAGAGCGTTAGGAACATTGTCAACAACATGCTCAACACGTATGTATCGTCATTCATTTCCGACAACAGCCATAACGCCAACAACACTACCACTTACCATCACCACCACTCCTAGAAGAACCAACACCGCTTCCAACCAATGCCAACATGGAAGTCCCCTTGACTTGGCAGCCCCTTCACTGGGTAGGCGTCTTGATGCTCCTCCTGGGACTGGTGTCGACGCTGGTGAGGGTGTACACGAACCGCTGCGGGACGAACCCGAAGTGGTCGGCAGGGATTGCCGTAGCGACCGTGGCAGCTTGTCTCTCGTCGTGGCTTCTGGCGGATGGTCCCCTCTACAAGGAGGTCAAAGTAAGCAGCGTGCACGTGCATGTATGTGCGTGTCGTACCCATGGAAGGCGTGTTTTTGTCGAGTGCATGGTTAACGACTGCTACGTAGGTCTTTGTTCATCTGCCCACAAGGATGTCAACGAAAGTAGCATGCACGTCGTATGCGTATCGTACGCATACATCCTATTTTCGTGGATGTTTGGCAGAGAAGGGCTCGCAAGGAATTCTTTGGTAGGTGCAGCGGTGGTAGCGGTGAACTGGCGGCTTATCTGTTCCCTCTGTTTTGCCACCTTCTTACCGCAGTCTCCCTCTGTATTACCTTCTTTCCGCTGTCTCCCTCTGTCCTATCTGTCTGTCTGTCTGCCTGCCTCTTGGTCTGTCTGTCTGCCTCTCGGTCTCCCTTTCCGCCTGTCTTACTGTCTCTTTATCTCTATGTGTGTATGTTTTGTCTCTCTGTCTCGCTGCCTTCTCTGCCTGTCGGCCGTGTGCCTGCCTCGCTACCACTTCGTCGGACTCCTTTTTTCTCTTTCCCATCCACACTCCTACCAACGCATGAATTCACCGAAGACCGCCGAGGTTTGCACCGATGAAAACGTACGAGAACTGTGCGGATACGAAGAGGTGGACGAAGATGCGTTGCCAGAGGACATCCCAGATCTCAACGTCTGCGTCTGCCGAGTGGCGTCAGGGGCCTGGTAAGAGGGAGCGCCAGACCCGCAGGTGTTGGTCGTTACTTGAATCCGGAGTTTATTAGTTTATTGTGTGAAGTGCACCCCGACGACTTCATGAAGGGTCAATTTGGAAACTGTGATTTTTCTACGTAGAGCACGGTGACATCGCTTGGACGATGCCACCGGTCGACCAAGGATTTTCAACCATTCATAAATGTCCTTTAAAAAACATTGACCAATGATCATTGACCAATGAGCATTGACCAATGATCATTGACCAATGAGAAACTGCGGGCACTTTTCTTACGTATAATCGTTCCCAGGGTAACTCGCGTTCCTCCCCCCTAATAGATCAAGCCTGCAGCAGTGTTTCTCCTCCACTCACTACTGTGTGCACTGGTTTGAAGTGAGACAAAAAAGATGGTATACATGCAAATTATAAGAAAACAAAAATCTCCGCCAAGACTAGTAATCGTCGGATTCCATCCTGTTGCCGGCCTGTTGTCGGTGGTTTCTTCGAAGCCACACTTAAATCCCTTAACGACCCGGTGCAGTTGGATTGAACTGCGCTCGGCGCTGATCTGACGTGGAATGCATCACGCACAACTTGCTCTGTTCTGACCCACAGTTGTTTTGTTGATGTTTTTTTCTTCTTGTTCTCCACCAAAGTCTGAAGAGTCGTTGCCAAAGGAGAGATTTTTGCGACTTGTTGGAATTGGCATCCTTTTTAGAGGTACAGCAGTACGTTGCCATTCGCCGCCTGTTCCTGCCGGTTTGGTTTAGAAAACCCTGCTTGGATTTTGCAACATGAACGCTGGTTGGACCCTTGGGCTACGATAATATCTTTTAGAAATACTCCGACCACTTGCCCAGATTTCCGGTATTCCGAGATTTCGCAGGTTTAGCGGGGCAACAGTTGATAGCAGCAACTAGCTGTGTTTATGCGTTCCCTCCTGCTCAGTGTTGCCTGGGAGTGAGGGGGAGCGAGAGCGAGTGAGAGGGAAGCCAAGGACAGTAAGGAGGAATAGGACTGAAGCGGAATACTCAATGGTCGGACCTGTTCCACACTGCATTCTCGTCACACTTGGTGTCGTCGGAAGCCGCCATTTTAGGACGATATTTCCATCACCAAACAACGGCGTGCCGTAGACAGCGCCACCGCCGCTGCCAACCTAGGTGAGGAGTGCCGCCGACTCTCTGCTTGGTGGAAAGGAAGCAGTGGTGCCGACGAGACCGTTCCGAAGAGCAACTGATCGCAACCGGATATTCTTTAGCATCATGCCGAACTGGAAACCAACGAAAAAAAAAAAAAGGGGGGGGGGGGGGGG